GTATATATATATATATATAAATGGTTTATATATTTTGCTAGAAATATTTTATTAAGCTAAGTGTAAAATGGACATTCCATCCAATGTTATATATTCTAAAGTTCTAATAAGAACATATAGTAGATTCTTTTATACGTGGCATCTATTACACGCATGTATGTTACAATCTATGTGTAAATAAAATTTCGTCATTAATTATTTGTGAACAAATTTGTTCATTCTTAATTGGCTTTATCGCTGATCTATCTTTCTCTCTTTTCTGTCAATCTTTCTCAAGGATTGTAACATACAAGCTTTGATTTAAACTAGAATGTTAATATATGTGAATCACAAATTTCTATAACAAAGCACATACAAAATTCGTTTTGCTTTGTTACTCGGGGAAAATCGTACATACACACTTTTGTATCGCATAGCGTTCACTGCATTTAGTACAGTATCGTTAATAATCATGCCCACCTTACACGGATGTGATCCAACACTAATTCTATCGTGTGTGACGGATAATATCTTATACCGAATATGTGCATTAATAATTAGACTTTTGGTTTTGGAGAGTATTCGATAACGTGGGGAAACGAAGAGAAAAAGCGGAATTAAAAACGCTACCGTCTCTATATACGCTCTCGCGGCTTGTGATTTAACTGTGGTGTCGGCGTATTTACTCTTTCAAAGCTGGCTTACGGCCTAATATCTTTTGTGATAGTGTAGTTGGTGAAATCATACACTGAGACGAACACATAGATTGGATAGATAGATTAGTGTACCAGGGAATCGAGCATCGGCTTTATCGAAAGGATGCGGCTCGCCGATCTTATTCTTGTAAAGGCAGCCAAATATCTCATACACTGCCATGCCAATTAAACGGGCTTCCACTGTTTGCAATGAACCGCGAGGACAAGAGAGCCGGTCCTCTCTCTCACGAAGCCGATCTTGATTCTGACGCGCGGATCGCGAAGTGTTGTTTATGGTAATTTCATTTCTTCCTCTTGCCACAGTTTTTTTTAAATATACATATACACACACACACACGCGCGCGCGCGCGCGCGTGTGTGTGTGTTTTGTTAGAATACTGGAAAACATTTATAGTTAGACACGAGACTGTCATGATTAGTGCTTCGCGGTTCAACGGGTATGTGAAACGACTTTGGTTTGCATGTCGTGTGATTTCATGGAAGGATACGTAACTTTCCTCCGGTCGCCTATGTTCCGCGAACGATCGTATAACAGACCCGATCTTTTTTCTTTCTCTTTTTTTTCTTTTTAATCCCTCGTACATATATTATAGCCAATAGGTCAATTGTCTTTCCGGGCATTGTGTTTCATTCGATAAAAAAAAGAGATCTCTCATGCTCCTATTTCACCTTGCAATAAGTTTTCCGTTAATCTTCCTTTTTTCAACGCGTGATCCTATTATAATTATCTTATGCAGCGTAATTTTCTTTTATGCTATATAAGGACTACCGTAGACAAAATTCTGTAACAATAACCGTAAGACTTAAACCAATGAGCTAATCAGGATATTGTTTTAGATCTACGTAATCTGATGTCCAACATATATATAGATATTACATGCAGATAATTTATATATATATATATATATATATATATATATATAAATTATCCGCATGTAACATTTCGTAGAAATTTCCACCAGTTAAAATTCGTCTTATGGATAAGTTTATTATTTCTATTTTCGTTAGATTATGTAGATCTAAAGTAATATCCTTTATTAGTCAATTGACCCATTGACTAATAATTTACGTCTTACGGATATTGTTACGGAATTTTATCTGTTGTAGCCCTAACAACAGCATTACCGTACAGAACCAATAGTGAATGTCTTAATATAATCTCACATGGAAATGCAATCACGTGTTCCTTTTTTTATTTTAATAAGTTTCGAATATATTAAATTATTAAAATATAGAAAAAATAAGAGACGTACTTTTTTTATAATCGTTTTTCTGTTAAGGGAATCCTGCTTTTAAAAAATAGGTTTTTTCTTTTTCAGTGAATATCGTTTAAACTAAAGGTCCTATATTAGAATTTGGTCACGGATGCTTTCATCAAAATTCTATGAGAGAGAAAAATACATGTATACATTTTTTTCCTGTATTATCTCACTTTAACATATATACTGTGTCACCCTATAACTTTAATTGTAGCTTATTGAAATTGGAGAAGAACACTTGATTATGCTCCCTTGTCAGCTGTCGTAGTAACTCTCTATCCATCCTGTCATAATAACTGCAAAGTACTTATTATTACATATTCTCTATCCGATTTTTATTATTTATAACATAACTGTTCGAGAAGATAATTTGTTTGAAGATAATTGAGAGCCGTTTGAAAAAAAAGGAAAAAGAAAGAAGGAACGAATATCGGGTACATTTACACGGTAAATGATCGTTTGTTTAATCTCGGGATGCTTGGTGAGACAATGGCGATATGCACGTTAACTATGATTTTGCTAAGAAATGAAAAACGTTATTAGTCATCAGAAAATATAAAAGTCTTTGACAATAAAAACGCAACGCGATTATCTGCCGATCCGAATCAACGTCCTGGGATTAAGGAACCTGGGGGACATGTATCTCTCTGACATCTTTAAACCATCGAGACTATATCTCCTGATTCGGTTGTAGCATTAATTGATATCATAGACATAATGAAACATGGCGAGACGACGTGAAATGGACAGACGTTGATCACCGTTTATCACGCGAATGTATCACGTGAAATGATATAAGAATACTAGGTATACATTTTCATGGATGACCAATTGGATGACTAAGGATATCAGAAATTTACTACCAATTAGAATTAGCTTCAAATTATATTGCGCATGTTACATCTGGCATTCTTATATTATGACGGGGATCATTATACGGTGGATGACGAGGAGTGCGATAAGGACATAGTGCGCCAACCGGTCGCCTTTTGCGTCGTTTCCATAGGGGTGCATCTCGGAATGTTCTAGCACAAATGTACTGCTGGTCATTAAAATTGCAATATCAAGAAAAATGTGAGAAATGATATATATTTATATGACAGATTATTTATGATACATGGAGTTTCAAATTACAGCTTGGTATTTTTATTAGAAGTATAGCATATTTTCATACTCTACCATATGATCTGTCCATTCTGTAAATTTCAATATGATACATTTTTTTCTATTGTATTTCAATGACCAACAGTGTACGCCGAGAGCGTGAAGATGTCCTAGCGAGACGATACACGAGCTTAAAGAAAGCTCATCATCTCCATGTCTTCATCTCCGCCGACATTTTCCTCCTTAAGAGCTCTTTCTTTTTTCTCCCTCCATCCCATCCTCTTCTCCCAAGAAGCATAGGACACGCACGCGGTATATACGTTTATCCATGCATACGCACACTCTCATACATACACACGCGATATAATCTCTTTCTTTTTTTTTTTATCTCCTTATTATACACTCTCTGTATCGACGATTTTTATATCGACGAAAACGATCATGTTTAATAAATGTGCCTTGTGGATATATATATCTTTTTGCTTGCCGGGTTGGTGGACTCTTACCCTGATTATATTACGTTGCCCGGTGGTTGCACTCTTCGCGTCCGGTCCCGTTGCGCCATCTCGCTCTCCGCACCTCTCTGGAGCGAGACGAAGCTCTACTCGTAAGTGACAGAGTATTTGAGGAGGATATGTCTTCTCTTTAAAACGCGAAACTTCCGCAAGATCTTGTTGGAGGAGAAACTGAAGATTGCAACCACCGCGTATCTTGTTACGTTCTATACATTTTTTTTTCATTGGGCTCACAGGTATCTTTGGTATATCTACAGATCAA